AGTTGTTTTGTGCAGAACCTAGAGTGATTAAGCTTCAGTTTATTTGGGGCTTCTAAGTAGAAGTAATCTTGTAGAAATTTTGCAGCTAAATCAAAATAAAGCTGGATGTTGAAAACCTCTGAAGATCAGATGCTTACAGAGATGCTTTTCTTAAACCATAAAACTAGTAAAGATTACTTGTCAATGAAGGAAAAAACAATTGCTGAAAGACAAATCCTCATTTTAAAGATGGAAACAGAGGGATTAACTATGCTTGCAACTAAAAAGAGCAATTAAAAGATAAGAAACTTATTATTAAAGAGCCCACAGAAAACAAAGTGTCATGGAACTATTTGTATTAAGAGTAGACAGAGATCATGGGGCTTTAGCTGGAATGTCCTTTAATGAATTATCTTCACGCAGATTCTTGAGGACTGTAGGCTTCCATATGTCATATAATGTAATTAAAAAAAAAAAAAAAGTCAGGTGTATTTCAGGAAGTTCCAGCAAGATATGTATTATGTCTTGGAGCTAAAATCCCAGTTTGCATAAATGCTGTCAAACTGAACTGCTTCTGCCAGCTCTGAGCTGGAGGTCAAGTCTTCAAAACATCTGAGGACAGAGACTGTAGGGAAGCTTTACAGAGGAGTCCACCTCTCCCGGAGAGATGCTCTGCATAAAGGTGCCTGAACACACAGCTCAAACAGGATCTAAACCAAAGCTCCCCTTTGAGAGGTTTCTTGATAGAGCTGCTTGTAGCAGCTTGATGAGATCCCCTCCAAAAACTGAAGCATCATTTTATTTATTTGCTAGAGAGCAAGTTTGGACTAGACTCTGTATGTGTGCAATGCAGGTGCATGGGAACTATGCATCTATTATTTCCTAATCTATTATTTCGAGTGGAGAAGTGTGACTTGGGAGAAGCTGCTTGAAATGAAAGCATTAAGTTAGTAGGCACAATGGAAGTTATTGAAATGGAGTTGTCAGCCTACAGCCTCATACAGGAGGATGAGAAACTGTCAGGCTTGGAGAGAAATGGATCCCTTCCCAGTGCAGATTCCATTTAAAAGGTGAAGAAATGATTCTTCATGTAACAGATGACTTCAAGCCATCAGAAAGTAAATTGATGGCAGAAAGATGCTGGCCATTACTTAGTAGAGGAGAGGAACGAAGGATTCCAAGGTGTGGTTCTGGAGGTATTTGAGCATCCTTCTCTCCTGCCCAGCTGGAGTCATTAAAACATGAAGCGCAATGTGGAAAACTGTAGAGAGATATGGGGTATGCCCTTAAGGAAAAGGAGATGGGAACCTCTTTGGCAGCTTCAGAAAAACATCCACACTTGGAGAAGAAATAGAATGAAGGAAGAAAAGAGCAGATTATTCTGGGGATTAAATTTTGCTGTGCACTATAGAGGGGGCAGATGCAGTGCATGTCCATCAGTGTCTGGCATTACAGACCCATGTGGTTATCTGGCATTTTTGAAAATGGGTGGTGCATGTTGGTGCTTTGATCACTGACACTTCTTAAGGCATCCCACAAGTGCAAGGGGATGTCCTGCTGTGCTGTGCACAAGTCTGGCTGCAGATCTGTCAGGCTCTCTCTTGAACTCCTGGCATCCTGCACCTCCCCAGGCTAGCAGCTCCCACCAAAGCTGGAAACAATCTCCTGTCCTTCTGCATGTCTCACATCTGGGACGGCCCGGAGAACTCCTGCAGGTGCTTGCACAGACCCCAAATCACCCAGTCTCTTCCCTGGTTTGGACTGAGGCACTGGGCTCTGTGCCTGGGGATGTGCAGGAACAGATGTTCCTGTTGATGTTGTGCTTCCTGTCATTGGGAATTGTGTTCGTGCCTCAGACAACTGCACTAAACTGGCTGAGTTTGGAGTAAGAAAAAGACAGGATGTGCCATCAAGAGCTGCAGAGTCCCAGTGGAGAAGGCATTTTATTCTTGCTGTGTGCAGAAAGATTTCCTTGTTGATGAGTATAAGTTTATTCATCCTTTCACTGTTGTCCTGGGGTCTCAGTCTCAGTGCTGGAGTCAATGGCAGCACAGCTGGCAGCCAGCTGTGCTCTTCTGCTGTCCCCGAGCCAGATGCTGAGGGACAGCCTGCAAGGTGGCTCTACTGATTCCAGGATGAGGATTTTCTGCACTTTTCCCTTCTGGGAGGTGTCCCCTGGGCCTGTCTTAGGTGGGTTTTTGTGCGCAGAGAGCCATAGTAGGAACGCTTTTGTTCCTTCTTGGTTTGGTGAGAGAATTCTGTTTAGCTAGGACAAGTCTAAAGTCTCTAAAGATTCTAAGACAGGAATCTTAGTGCTGGATTTGGAAATGCTGTTTGTATATATTAAAGCTTTGGGTTTTGTCATTCATGCCTGCAAATGAACATTTGACATACCTCTGGACATTCCTTGTGCTCTTATATATAAAAGCAGGGATGTAGTTGAATTGGACAATCATAAATACTTAATATTTGAATACATAGAGTCACTAAATAGCTGGATAACTATCTTTTTATAAAACCACATATGTGTTGGCAATCTGCATAATTGATTGAATAATCAGTTGGTTTGATTGCTTTTACTTGTGTCTACAACGAATTTCCTCAGAGATAAATCTCAGAAGTGCTGGGAAGGAGGTGGAGGAGGCAGGCACATGCAAAAAGGGAAGGCAGTTTGCATAGAACAATTCTTCTGCCTTTTTACTTCTCTGACAGTTTTTGGACCCCTTCATTTAAGCATTTGAAACACTGACTGAGGTTCATGACTGCTGATTAATAATATATATTCATTGTCATTATTTTCTAGAGATAAATCTGACTTTTTATTCTGAAAACCAACCAACCATCCAAACACAGCTGACTAAAACCTAGAAACACTTTGCAAAGAAAATCCGATGTTTCTCTCAGAAAGAAACATCTAAAGCAACAAAGTCAAAACAAATTCTATTTCTGACTAGGAAGTTCTGTTGAACTCTGGCCCTGTCAGCCCACCTTGGCTCTGTGTTGTTGAAGTCACTGGGCTCCATCCCTGAGTATTCTCTTGCCTGGACTTTGCTTGGGTGACTTTTCCCCTTTGTCCTGGACTAGAGCAGGACTCTCCAGGCACAGCTGACTCTGTATGGGCAGAGCTGCAGTACTGCTCCTGGGCCTTTGCCCTTGCTTAGGAAATTCAGTGTTTGGGCAGCAAACAGGTCTGGTACCTGTCCTACAGGAGTTCTGCAGAGGCCACAGTGGAGTCTCCTTCCTGTGGTACCTCCACACAGCCTGGGATAACTCCGGTCTCTCCACATCTGCTGTAAAGGCATCCCATGAGCCACGGTTTCACTTGTGGCTAATGCCCACCTGGTGCTGTGTTCATGTTATCTGTTCCTGCCAGTGGAACATTTCAGAGCCTAGGCATTATAGGAATTAAAGCTGAGAGCCCTTGTGGAGAGGACCAGAGTGTCAGGCCTGGCTGGGCTGGACTCAGTTAAGGCTGAAGGAAAATCCTGATCTAAACCACTTAATTTTGTAGGCACCTGCATGGAAATGAGAGCAATCCTCTGAACTGGTTGCTGCAGTTGTTTTATTACAGAACTCTGCTGATCTAAACCCAATGCAACACAAAGCTGTCCTGCAGCGAAGTGCTGGGAAACATCACTTTGTGCATTATGTAAACCCAACATTTCTGGGGGAAAATAATCTCAGCATTCTTTTTGCAATATTGACCTGTAACAACACCAGCACAGCACAGGGATTTTCTTGCCAAGCCCACAGGCAGCTCCCTAACAAATGAGAGACTGCCAATGCAGCTGTACCAATGTCCACATTTTTGTACTGCTATTAGGTATTTTCTGTGACTTGGGTGATGCCAGTTGGGCATCTATTAGGCAGCAGGTACTGATTTTGCAGTTGCTCTTCAGCCCAGCTTTAATGTGGTGTTTTGGAGGAGATTACCAGGCAATCTGAAAGATAGCACTTGGCATTTACTTGTTTTTGCACTGTCTTCACCTTTACCAATGCAACTCTGCTCTCAATTACCAAAGTTATCTTAGGGATAGATCCTAAAAATCCCTACAGTAGACAGAAGCTGGTTGTGACTCTATGAATAATTTCTCCAAGTTTGCTCTCATGGTAGGTTGCGACACCAAATATTAAAATGGGTGTGAGTTCTAGTCTATGAATGATTGTAGCTGTCTTTGTGTTCCTCCATGTATGTTCCAAAGTAAATGAAGGGAACTCCTTGTCTGTTCTTCCTTTCAACTGCACCTTTAATTGTAGGATTTCTCAGCCATGATGGGCATGACCTGTGTTACAAAGTCACAGTCTGACTCTAACATTCCAGCACGGTTTCCTTGAGCAGAAGCCCTTGCTTCAAGAGGGCTCTTGGTGGGTTTAATTGTTGTGTATTTTTCTCATTTTGCATTCTTCCATCCAAGACACTGGACAGGCTGCCCTGCTTCCCTGTGTGCACGTGGTTTTCTGCCAGAATAGGACCAGTGACATGAGGATAACTGGCTCCTATAATGCTGTATTTCCTTTTCAAAAAACCTTCAAGTAATGACTACAAAAGGCAGTCATAAAAAGGAGAGCAGAAGGAAGTCAAATGTCAGGAATTGTTTTATTTCAACGACTGGAAGTAATTTTTAGCCACATTTGTTTCACTAGTGAGTGCCAAAATGTTATAAATTTTTGACTGAAGTCAGTGTGCTCCATTTGTCAGTTTGCTAGTTTGCTGTTGTGGGAAAAAATGCTGAAAGGAGGATTTAAAAAAAAATAAAAAATTGAAGTACTTGTACCTGACAGTAAATTTTATGGTCCTTTATTTCAGACAATTCTGTGATTTCTTTGAGTTTGGTCTGCCTAAAGATGACAAGGTTAAGGACATTTCTGTTAACTCAGTTTTTTCTCAGTCAGGAAGCTATTTGCTTTTTACTGGATTGATGTTTACCTGCTAGAGAACTTTAAATATAATCCTGCATCTGTACATGACTGCAAAGCATGCCAATAATGCAGTTAAAAAAAAAGAAAAAGAGATTACTTACGGAGATTGGAATAATTGCTGCCTATCCCAATACTGATGGAGCTTCCAGAGATGAGAGGAAGATGGAAGAAAATAACTAAAAAGGGAAAAATGAAGAGAAAGGTCCTTAATAGCAGCTTGGTTTTGTTTGGTACCAGATGTGAGTTGAAGGCACGTTGAGTTAAGGTTCACCTGCTCTCTCTGGGCAGGATTGCACATCTCAGAGCCTGAGTGCACACATAGATGTAGCCTGAATGGGAGAAAAATGCCAAACAAACCACTGCTTCATACTTCTAGGAATCCCTCCTGTTCAGGAGATGGTATTAATGCCTCTCAGATTCCAAACCCCATGTATAAACAACAATGTGTTATATAAATATGCTAATTATTGTTAAGTCATTCACCAGTCTCTGAAACAGGCACCTACCATTGTAAAACCAAATAACTCCCCTGATTTGTGTGAGTGCAGCTTGAACGCATAAGGCATGTGTGTGCCAAACTGGGTTGGAATAAATTTAGTCTAAAATCTGATACACATACTCCCCCTATGCACTTAGGCTTTAATATTTATAACTTGCTCTTCAAAGATTTATATTTACAGGCAACAAAATGCACACGAGTAAAACGTGTCCTAAATAACCACATCTTTAGATTTCTTAAAAGATGAGCTCGTTTGCTAATGCAGACGGATTTAAAGGCTGATTCCCGAGAGCCGCTCTCTGTGTCACAGACTTCGGCTCGGGGTCTGGGCGCTGCCCTGCCCTGCCCCCGGCGGGCACGGCTGGCAAGGGGCCGCTCCCTTCTCGGGAGGGGGCCCGGCCCACACAAAGTTTCGGGCAGGGGCCTTTGGGCTGTGGGATCCCCGCAGCCCGTACCCGCGGCTGGGCGGCAACCCACGGGCTCCCGCGGCCCCTCGGAGCCTGCCCTCCCGGCCGGGATCGGCCCCCCGGAGCCTGCCCCACCCGGCCGGGAGCGGCCCCTCACAGCCTGCCCCACCCGGCCGGGAGCGGCCCCTCAGAACCTGCCCTCCCGGCCGGGATCGGCCCCCCGGAGCCGGCACGGCTCCTGCTTTATCCCAGCACGGCTCACGCCTTTCCCCACCTTGCTTCCTTCCTTACCTCGGTTCAGGCTCTGCCTCTCCTCATCTCAGCCCCTTTCCCCAGCCCGCTCCAGCCCTGCCTCCCCTCAGCCCGGCTCAGCTCCAGCCCCTGCGTTCCTCCACCCCGGCTCAGCCCGTACCTTCCCCCGGCTGCTGCCTTCCCCCAACCCGGCTCAGCCCGTGCCTTCCCCCGGCTGCTGCCTTCCCCCGGCTGCTGCCTTCCCCCATCCCGGCTCAGCCCCTGCCTTCCCCCGGCTGCTGCCTTCCCCCGTCCCGGCTCAGCCCGTACCTTCCCCCATGCCGCCCTGCCCTGCCTTACCCCAGCCCGCCGCCGTGCCCGCTGTCTCCATCCGCCCCCGCCGCGGCTCCCCGGGGGCCGGCGGGGCCCCGCCGCCTCCTGCCGTGCGCGGGGCCGGAGCGGG